CAGGCTGTCGGGAATTGGTTGCATAGAAAAAAAAATATTAGGTAAAAATTTTTTATCGGTGAAATAAACTGTTAAAAAATGTCTTTTCAGAAAAAATGGGAAATAGTATTTCGGGAAGGTGAGTTTTTGGGAAAAGTGAGAATTATCATTATAAACATGTAAAATTTTTATATTCACTATTAAGCAAACAATTTGTTTAAGAGTTTTAATCATTTATCAGATAATATTCACTATTAAGCGAACAATTAATATTTAATTAGTTTAAAAGGTTTAATCATTTATCAGATAGCTATCACACTTTCAGCATAGTAGAATCCATTGATCTACCTCGAGACAATTCTACCCATTGATTACCTTCTTTGCCGAAGACTTTGCTTGAAACGCATGCCTTTAAAGGCGATTCCACACTTAACCAATTTGGTTGATCTTGTGGGAATACCGAAATCGTATTTTTTATTTGTTATTTGTTCTAGCCCTTTCTCGGCAGCGTCTCGAAGCAACTTGTCCACATCTTCAGTCTTATTCTCCTCAATATCTTAAATTCCATGATTACTGACGTTTCAAATTTTACATTTTGAAATTCCGGGTCGATTCTCAAATTGAAGCGTCCTAATCCCTCCTCTTTGTTTGATCTTAACTTATAGCCACAAAATTGCACCTGTGAGAGGAGCCCAATCATAAACAAATGATACCCAGACTCCGCTTGATTATTTCCAATGTCATGAAATAAAAGCATTTCCATGATAATTTTTGGGAGATATTGTTCAAACTTCAAAAGGTCTCCTCGCAACAACATATCCATCATAGAATCTACTAAATGCGCGGATGCTATTTCTATCGCCTTATTTGGAAGACATAAATTCTTGCTTAGATCGATAGTTAGATAACCAGCGTAATACAGTAATGCCCAGAATACTTGATCGGCTCTCGATAATAGTAGTTCATAATTAACATCTATTATATTTATTCTAATCTTACCCTTTGAGTGAAACTCTACTATTGTTTGTTGATGTTTTCTGAAAAATGCCATAGTAGGTTTTTAAATACAGCAATACTTCCTATATTTTAAAAGAGATAACATTTCAACAATATCATCATTAGGGGTCTGCAAATACTCGTGCCGGGCATATTGGCACTAGTACCTTTTGCCATGGGCTGTGCCGATGGACATAGACACCAAAACGCTAGGCATTATTATAGGCACGAATGCGTCTTATGTTCATGCTTGTATCTATAAGCAGGCAATATTAAATGCATGGCACAATGTTCCGAGCACAAAGTGTCAAGTACTATTATAGATACAGCGCCAGGCACAAAATATAGATACAGCGTGCCAGGCAAATAATAAATTTTGTGCTTGTGCCTATGCCAATACCCGTGCTCA